AGCGTCTTGCAAGTAAACTCAGGCATCCCTTGGGTCTGCATTTCATGTCTGTGGCTCTCTCTCTTTCTCTCCCGTGGACTAAAAATTCGGATTTTAACCACTAGACAAGCTATTAATTTAGCTAGACTACCTAGGGTCCTGAACCCAATTAATTTCTAATAATTATAGCCCAAGGGGGCTAGATAGATCTCCCTGCCTCTTTCTTTTATTGCCACTCCACGCCACGGAGGTCAGCGTATAATAATAAAGTGTATATTTTGAAAGCGATCTCAAGAACAGTGAGTTATTGCAATGAATGAAAATTGTTTCCATTTTGGCTAATTGAGCCGGTGGCCGAAAGCTAGAGCTCTGAGACTAAATAAAGAGGACTGTTTCATTTCAACATGAAGAAACCCCTGCCTAGCTCTGGTCACCCAGCGAGAGTTTAATTTCTTAACAGCCAACCTGAAACCCAGCGTTGGGTAAACAGTATTAATAATTGCATTACAATGATTAAATTAATCTTGCTGGTAGCCAGCAGAATATAGGTTGTGATTGAATAGCAAGATGTAAAGTTCACTGCACAAAGACAATAGGCCAAGAAATACCTCCTTAAAGAATTCAAACTTTCTTTCAAAGATACCGTGGGGCTGGTTCAATTATAGTGCGAGCAAAGAAAAATTTCCTGTTGCATGTAATTTATTGAAAATCGGTTCTTTGCTGTTTCTAGCATTAACTAAAGAAACATAGCTGGAAAAGAGATATGCTTGTTCTGTTCTCTTCTTCAACGACCCATCTTTCCTCCAACTCCCAGCTCGTGATCTCTGCTTCTGTTATAGAAAAAAATCCGAAAGAAAAAAAAAAACGACAGTAATAAAACAAGCAAATCCAAACAGCCCGTAAACTCATCGACTTTCCAAGGACGCAGTGTTTCCAGGATGCCCGTTTCCGTGGGAGGAAACGCAAGAAAACGTGGGACACAGTCTACTGCCCCTTACGGAAACGAATTTCAGGAGGAGAGGGAAAGGCGGACGGTGCGGATGCAGGCAGCGACGGCAGCTCTGACAACTTGTTGGAGGCCTCTTTTCTCTTGGGCCAGCGACAGCTTAGACGGGACGTCAAAGGGTGTCGGGAACCTCAGGGGCCGCTGAACAGAAAGTCACCTGTTGGGTCTCACGGCTGAGACTTGGGACAGGTGGACCTGACGGGGTCCGGGTACTGGGGAGTGGGAACCCGCCGGGGTTGGCTCTCAGGGGTAGTGGCGCTGCAGGCGGTGAGCGCGGTCCGCGGCTGCTGGCGTTTGTTCCATCAGCTTAAACACACTTGAACTAGCACGTTAGTTCTTTTATTAACACTCAGGGCAGAAAACACACGATAAAAGAAAGAAATAAGAAAAAAAGAAAAGAAACCCAGTTTTCAGGTTTGAAAACAAAAGCGATGATTCTGTGAGTACTTTTATTAAACAACAACCACAAGTATGATGCCTGATCTTTTCACAGTGCTTTGGCCCGAGGGCACAGAGGAATTTGTGTTTATTATTTCAGTTAGAATACGTTGGCTTCGCTCGTGTCCAGAAACTCTTGGAAAGACCAGGCTGAAGACCCATTCGCTGAAGCCACTCAACCCCAGGGATTTGAAAAACCAGGAGGGGAGTGTGCCCTGGCCGCGCCTCACTCCCCACACCCCCTGCCCTCTAGAAAGGCTTTCACGACAGAGATCTCTAAAGTTGGGGGGAAATCAGTTTTGATTTTCTTTAGTTTTCTGTATCCCACCCAATTCTCACAGCCCCCACCCCAACCCCTGGTCCGCCACTGTGGTTTATAATTTTTCAGCAGAAACAACGGCTGCAGCTTCACATGTGGGTCTTGTTTTTACTTGGGTTTGATTCCATGGTCCCTTCATTTTCTATAAAATTGCCCATCACTCCTCTTACCCCCCTTTTTGCAACGGGACCCAAATATAGACCTCCACCCCCCACCCCGGGCACGAGATAAAAGGAATTAAGTAGAAAAGTACAAGGGGCAATGTTAACTTCTTTTGTTTATTTTTTAAGTTCCCCAGAGTGAGAAGGTGAAATGAAACCTCTCAGGCAGAGCCTCCTCCTGCCTACATCCTTAGCGGACTCCACCGCCCTTCCTGAAGGTCAAAGACCTTTAGGTTTGGATAGCTGGGGGGCTTGGTCCTCTGGACTGCCTCTCTATCCTCTGGCCCAGGTGAGGGTCCCCAGAGAGTCCTTTAAACTGATCAGAAGCAGTTTCTATGAACTTCTTGCTGGTCAGTCTAGTGCGTTTCTCTCCCTAGAGATTTTACTTTCTTTGGTGAACGCTCTCAACTCCCATTTCACTTTTTCCTCTGAGGACCTTTTTTGGTTGGAGGGAAGACTTGCCTTCGTGTAAACTGAGGGAAACTAGTGAACTCAGTCATAGACTTCCGGCATTGACAAATTCAGAATGCTGAAGTGCCTGGTCATTTTGCATGGGCCAAATGTGAGCACACCACCTGTATGCAGAGGGCAACAGAAATTGTAGAAGGAATGGAAACACCCCCACCCAAACTTGCCTCTTTACTTCAGAGGGAATGATAGAGTTCTCTTGTGCCCATGTGTTTGGACACCAGAGTCTTCTCTTTTGGAAACTGTTTTACTCCTACTCTGTGTAATTTTTTCATCACCCTGTTCCATCTCCCCCCTCCCCTACCTCACATTTCAGCATTACACATCTGTCTCCCCTGGGTCTTGTAGCTTGATTCTCCAGGGACCTGTACTTACAGCCAAATGCTCCCAGAATTACACAGCTCTGGAGAAAGAGAAGTGATGGGCATCCTTGCCAAACTGAATCTTTCAAATTTAAATTTTCTGGAATAAAGATATTTGCGAGCCATTGATGGATAGTACCCTTTGGGGTTGAACCTTGTATCTGTTCCTAGTTTTGACAGTAAATAACAGGTACAATTGGGCATCTCAGTTATCTTCCTTCCCCTACCCTGCCTTAGCCAAACTCATGCCCAGAATCTGCTATTCTTTTCTCTTTCCTTAACTTGAACATCAAGGATGTATCACTGTAGCACAGAGAAAAAAATTGTGATATTCTTTTATGGTGTCTGGCAGGATTTGCAACAGATATTAATGAGGACATAAACAGCTCATGGAAGGTATTGAACAAAACTGTTTAGGGTAAGGAGGTTGTACCAAGAGAAAATTCACACATACTCGGGATTTATTCATACCTTAAACACAGCTAGCTCCTTTAAGAGGTCCCCATTTCTGCGTGCCCAATTCTTTGGTAAATCCTGTAATTAAAGCAATTTTTCAACAATATATTTCTTAAAAAGTGGTGGTGGGGGGGCAATCTGTCTCCCATCTCTTCTTTCTTATGACCCGGGAGGTCGTGGGTTTAAGCGAATGAGTGAAATGGCAGACAGGCTGAGCTGCAGCAGGAGGCGACAGGGGCAGCGGTGGGGGAGGCCGGAAGGTGACAGCCGACCTCAGGGAAGGCAGAAAGAAGGTCTTGGATGTCAAATGCCCAAGGTTCCCGGAGCTGGGAATCAAGGGTGATCATTATTACTTGGTGGGAATAGACCAACCAACTGACATGTTCCAAGGATGGCAGGAAGTAATAGCATTACACCTAAAATCAAGGAAGAAGCAGTTATTTATTCTGCTTTCAGCTCTGAAAGCAGAAGCCGCAATAGCTTCAGTAGCAGTAGTAGCCGCAGCAGATTTCCCGAAGTTCAGGATGATTCTCACTTTCTCCTGGATCGCTCGCCGAGTCCGGTCCTTCTGGTTCTTTAGTGTGGGAAAGATTTTAAAAGCCTCCTCCCCTCCCCCCACTCCTTGCTTTTCCCCCAAGGACCGTACAGAAAATGTCCTGCAATTGATGGTGGGAAAAACAATAATAGTAATGATACAGGCTTACTGGTGATTCCAACACGAAATCAACCTTTTGCCCGAGTCTTTTCGGTCCTTTTTTTTTTTTGTCCTGGGCGAGGTGTCTGCTCCCCTCCGACTCCCAGCGCTGGTTCCCCGCCCCCCGCCGCCCTCCCCGTGGCTCCCTTTCTCCGCCTCCTCGGCGATTGCCATCTGACAAGATCTCCAAATCAAAGTGATAAATCGCTCCAAACTTTTTTTGGCGGCGCTGAGATGTTGGAGGGGCGTCTAGCGCGCATGTGCGAAGGTGTCCAAACTGACAATGCTGGAGAGATAGCGAGTGTGGATTGAGAGAAAGGGAGAGAGGGAGGGAGAGAGAGTGAAAGAGAGAAAGAGAGTGAGTGTGTGTAAGAGAGAGAGAGAGAGAGAGAGTGTGTGTGTGAGAGAGAGAGAGAGGGAGAGGGGGAGAGAGAGAGAGAGAGGGAGGGAGCGAGAGGGAGAGCAAAAGAAGGAAAAGATCCAAGAAAAAAAAACCCCAACCACACACCAGCGGCTGCAGGACTGGGCACAGCATGAGATCCAAAGGCAGGGCAAGGAAACTGGCCACAAGTAGGTGCAATATCCCTTTTCTACTGGATTTCCCCCTCCTCTGCCATCTTGCATATCTGTCTACAGCGCTCCGGGAGGGAGCGCGGGGCTGCCTCTCGCGCCGGGGCCCCGGGCGGAGGGCAGTCGCAGAGCCTCTCCAGCAACCTGCCGGTCCCAGCCTCCGCGCCGGCCGCCCGCGCTCTAGCTCCTTGTTTGGGCGCCAGAGGAGCCGGGGCAGCCCCGGAGCCCAGCGCGCGGAGCAGCTGTGGCAACCCCGGGGTGGGGGTGGGGGTGGGGGCAGCAAAGACCTGGGTGGGAGGGAGGAGAGCGAGCGCGAGCGGGCGGGAAGGGGTGGGGTGGGTGGGGTGGGGGTGGGGGAGAGGAGCTGCGAGAGTCTCCCCCTCCCCTCCCCTTCCCCCCAGGCGGAGGAGAGTTGCCTCTGGCCAACCAGCTAGTCCCGGGTGTGGGAGGGGGAGCGGGGGATGGGGGGGGGCGGGCTGGGGAAAGGAGCCTTTTCGCGCCTCGGTTTGTTTCTGGGGTTTGGGGTGGGCGGAAGGCTCGGAGGGAGCTACAGTGGCGGCGGCGGCGGCGGGCAGCCGTGGTGGAGTTGGGAAAAGTTGCGAGGCGGCCGCTGGAAGTTGCGCGGGCTGGCGGGCTGCGCCGAGCGGCTGTTGCGGTAGTGGGCGCTGTGCGCTCCGCCGTGCTCTCCAGCGTGCGCGGCGCGGCGGGAGGACTGGGGTGGGGAGTGGGGGAGACGAGGGTGGAGGCTGTAGTCCGGGTGTGTGTGTGTGTGTGTGTGTGTGTGTGTGTGTGGTGGGGGTGGGGGCGCGGGCAGAGCCGAGCTACCGGCTCCGCGGAGCCGCGGGCAGGTGGGGAGAGAAGAGGCCCCGCGAGCGCCTGGAGGGCGCGGAGTAGAGGGCGCGCAGCCAGCGGCGACAGCCGCCGAGGAGAAGGAGGCCGAAAGGGCGCGCTTCGGCCCGCGAGCTCCAGGCTGGCAGGGCGCCGAGTGACCCCCAGGGGGCGGCCTGCGGGGACACTGGGCTCGGAGAGGGCGCGGCGGAGCCTCCCGCGCCGTTTCTGGACGCAGCCGAGGTCTTGGGTCACTAACCCTCCCCGGCGCCCCCTGCCTGCCCGGCGTGGAGCGGCCTTGGCCACGCGGGAAGAGGGCGATTGAGTTCGGGGCAGGGGCGACGGGACTCCCATCCCCCATGCTTCTCGCCGAAGTGTTGGGTGGCTTTGGCCGGCATTGCCCGCCGAGCCGACACTGTCCGAGAAATCGGTAGCATCAGCCGGGCGTACAGGCGACGGGACTGATTTGTCCAAATGCTTCTACGTCGAGTCTAAGGGGACCCGGCGGTGCCGAGCCCCGGAGCGATCCGAGGCAGTTCAAAGCGCTCCTCCGCAAGGTGTCAGCACGCGGGCTGCAGCAGCCTCGGCAAAGCACAGGCCGCCGTTCGCTCTCCCGCTCGCTGAAAACATAATTCTCTTAATTGTTTTGCGTGTGGATCAGAGGACGTAGAGATAGGTGGGTGGGATGCTTCTTCCAAGTGAACCCCTAGTCTCCCCCACCCCTGCATATTTAAAGCCAAGTAACGCCCCGAGCCTTCCCGCCTTTGGTGTCCCCGCCGCAGCCGCGCGGAAGGCAGCGGCATCCCGGGCGTCTTGGTTTCTTTGGCGGTGAGAGTCCGCGGTCTAGCCCAGCGAGATGCTGTCATCGTAGGCGCCTTTCCAGTGCTTCTTCCAGTCCTCACCCAAGCACTCCCTCTCGCCCAAATACGTTTCCTTTCGCTCTGGTCTCAGGGATCAACCTATATATAGGACTCTTCGGGCCATCAGTCCATCTGTTTCTCTTTTGGATATTGTTCATTTCACTTAGCTGCGACAGCGTCAAAGCGCGCCAGTGGAACTCCTGTTTTTCCTGTTTGCGTTTAATGGGGCCGATGTCTTTATTTTCATCTGAGCAGGAATAAATGTACATATATGCTTGGAGGCCTGTGGGCTTCAATTCCGACTGAAGGTTAGTTAGGGGTGTGTGTGTGTGTGTGTGTGTGTGTGTGTGTGTGTGTGTGGTTACGGGGACTAAGCGGGGGGTTGAGAGCCGATTTCAACTCTGCCTAAGTTGTGAAGTGAAAGCCGAACCCTTCGCGCGCCTCATTGCCTGGTATCCGCCGAAGTGAAAGCAGAACACAAAACCGTTCGAATTTTCTTGGGCAACTTTTTCAACTATTTTAATTACCAAGTTGTTCGCTGCCGAATTCAAACATTCCCGCACGCACAGTCCACTCAACGTCCAGAAACCGAGTCTGGCTTCCTATTTGAGGATACTTGTCATTCATCCAGTGGGAGACCCGTTTATTTTGTCTCTAGTGTTTCTAAGGATGCCGCCGCGGCTTTCTGATAACTAGATGCGAACTCTCACAAACTTTTCTTGCTAAGCCTCAGGTTCCCGCTGGCGCTGCTCCAGCTGTTGCCAACACGGCTGCCTTTCGGACGGGAGCGCTGCTTTATGCAATTCTTCGGTTCTAATCTGGGTAACGAAGGAAATCATATTAAAACTAAGATTTTTTGTATCTTGAAGCGCTATTTCCTTCCCCCGCGTAGTGCGTGAGTTTCCAAGCGCAGGGCGGAGATAGTCGCTGACCCCTGCTGTGAAGCCAGCGAAAACTTCGTGGCTGTGTCGGCACCGGGTTTCTTTCTTTTTCTGGGTTAGGAAGAGGCAGTGTGACCAGCATACTTTAAAAAACAAAACCACCCTTCTTGTTGTAAAAGTAAACACTACAGTGGAATCAAGTCACTTAGAAACAGTTGTTACCTCGACTGTTATTCTTCATGTATTTTGTAAATTTCTTTGGTGGCCAAGTCCTGTCGCGATCTTGGCTAAGGTACAGGATTCCAAGGATCCAAACCAGGGACCACAGACCCTGAAAGTACCGCTGAAGTTAAACTCAGAATGAATGCACAGCCTAACTCCCGACTTACAGGACTTGTTTTTTTCTTACACAATAGTTAAAATCGATACATTCGTTGCAAATCATTTGGGAGGAATAAACCATTAAATTAAAAAAAATAAGGAAGGGAAAAGCAAGAGGGCTGACATTTGTATTGTCGAAAGATGGTGGCTTTTATCCCCACCTTTAAGAAAAGAAAACTAAAAGCCACGCAGTCTCTGGCAGCCGGGTGAGGCTTCCCAGCCGTTTTCTTGGGCGGCCAGGACAGCACCTGGGCCGTGCCAGAAATGCCAGTTGCAACTATTTCCTTCTGGTGATGGGAAAGAAGTGAAGCTGGGTCTGCCTAGCGCGTCTAGGGCCCGAAAACCGAAGGAATCCCCCCACCCTACTTCTCCAAAGTGACACCCGGCAGGGTTTCAATCACAGCAATGAACGAGTTGCAACGAATAACCCCCCTTAGCTACCGGGCCACGCAGAAGTCTCGTAAAGACCCAGAAGGCGATGCGATTAGCAAGACCCCAGTGAGGGGAGGGGGGGGCACTTGTTACTTGTACACTTGATCTTGGTTTAAAAAGAGGCTCTGAAGTAGGTAAGGTAGATGACGACTCTTCCTCTCCTGCTTAAAACGCCTCCCCTTAGTAAGCCCAGTACATAAGAACCGCAAGCCCAGGTTCCAGCCTCCACTGCCCCATGCCCATCTACTTGCGTTTTCCTTTATCCTTTAAAAAGCTCAGATGAAAACACAAAGCTTTGCTTTAAACACGCATATTATTTGTTTATTTCAGTCTGCTTTTGAGGAGGGGAAAAAAAGCGCTTGCCCTGCGGAGGCCCCGTTTAGGAAGGCGGTTTATTTGCCATTACTTGACCATTACCCTGGCTTAGGGCGTCTTTATTGCATTTGGCACGTAGGACGAAGCATTTCGATGCGTTTCGCCAAAAAAAAAAAAAAAATCTGTGTTTAGGGGAAGGTTAATAACGCTTTTCATTCCCCCCCCTCACACTCGTCTTCAACACTCTGGAAGGGGACGGTTCATTAGCTACAGGGGCTGGAAGGCTGGAATAAAAGGTTCCATTTTCAGGTTTTTATTTGTGAGGGGCTGAGGAGTCGCAGGTCTGGGGGCCATTGGCTGTGGTGTGTCTGTGTAAGTGTGCCTGAATGTGTCTTTTGCGGGGTAGCCCAGCTCTTGGCTTTCTGAGCGGAGGCCTCTTCTCACTACCCGTGGGCGGGCTCGGCCTCCTCAGCAGGCAGACATTCAACACGTAGGACGCTCATCGAATAGAAATTAATGCGTCATCCCGACGTTTTTGCTTTATTCTTTTTTTAAAAGTTGAGGGTAATAATTCAGTAAGCAGTTTTTCTTTAAACATCTTGTCATTTGGGAGTTTATTTTATTTCATTTCTTGTGACTTGGGGCCATGTTATCCCAGGCTGCAGACGTCGCCTGGGGCAGGAAGGCCACAGCTGGGGACTCCTGGCTCCATCCTCCCGGGCCAGGAGGGCAGGGGAGCACCGGCTTGTTGCCCTCGGCAGGCCTGGCCCAGGCTCCTCTCTCCCCACACAACCTCCGTTTGCCTCTGCTGGAAGCGGGCCCTGAAATGGAGAAACTTGACTTGTCATCTGCTGGCCAGTGGCGCTTACCGTGTTCCCAAGGTACTCAGCGCTTGGCAGAGCCCTGGTCCCAAGCGCTGGGCACATCTTCCGTTCACTGCCGTCCCCCCCACCCCTCCAATCATCTCAAAACCAGGCCGGGTGGGACTTGGGGGTGGAGCTGGGGAGGCCTTGGAAAGGAGGGAGGTAGTGCTCACCAGAGCGCCCTCCCCTCCACACCTCGGTCCTCCAGCAGCTTGGCTCCTAGCTCCCAGGCCCAAAGCTCCTTCCCTTTCAACATCAGAGATGCTGTGTGCCCGGCGTGGGGCTTCACTTGGAGCCTGATTTGCACCGACCCTGTGCAACACATGCACAAACATACACACACACTCTCTCTCACATCTTAGGGGTTCAGGGACACTTACTCATTCCCTCTCTATGGCAGAGCAGGCCCCCTGGCCCAGAGGAGAGAGGGGCTCTGGGGAGGTGGGGCAGGAGCAGACAGTCACTCTATAAAGATGCTGGGCACATTTTTCTGGAGAGGTGGTTAACCCTTCTTGAGCTGAAAGTCTCGGCTCTAGGCACTTTCTACAAAGATCTGTGGGGTCTGCTTTTCTTTTATATGAATCACTAGTTTCCTCCCCACTTCATTTGCCAAGGTCCTCTTTCTAAAATTAGATTTTCCCCTTCCCACTCTTGAGTTTACCAGGGAATTCTCAAGGAAATTGGCTGGGTGGTGAGAACAAGTGTGAGGAAGAGGATGAAAAGGAGACAGACAAATGGAACAAGCAAGAGAGAGGAGAAAGGAAGAGAGAAGCAGCATGTTTTTTCTTCCTAGATTTCCAGTTTGCACACAGATGGGTATTATTTTTTTTTTCCCCAGTAAATGAAAAAAGTGTAATCCTTGTTAATTACCTTTGCTTACATGCCATACAAGAAACTTCAGAGACATTTCTACATAAGGAAGAAACTGTTTACAAAACTCTTTCAAAAGTGTGACATATTGCTCTAGTTCAGCATTAAAAAGCTAAACACACTTACCGTCCTTTGAAGTGCCCTGGCCAGGGCAGCTTATTTGAGTGCGGTTCAGATATTGCTGTGGGTATAACTAATGGCCTCTACCTATTTAGCTCAAGTGGGAGGAGAGAAAGGCCTGAATTCCTTGTCCAATGGGTCCCTCTGGAGACTGGATTCTGGCTCCTGGCCAGTTCTGTACAATGTCAACATTGAATATTTGAATTCCCAGACTCTATTTAACAAGTTTCTAAATAAATAAACTCATTGTGTGTCTGTGTTTAAAATTATTTCACCTCTTCCATAAAAGCCACAGTGTCTTATTACACTGGCCTTGCAAGTTGATTTTTTTCTAAAAAAAAAATAAACAAACAAACAGAGCTTAAGGATTTTTAATAGGCAGATCTTCACAATATGTGTTTTACAAAGACATTCTCTCATGTGTGGCTGGGTAGGTGCTATTTAGAGGGATCTTGGGCTGTTCTGTGTGATGTGGTAGTGAATTATACTGAAAACCAGGCTAAGTTCAGAAAGTCAGTGCAATATTAATCACATCTAAAGGGAGGCCTGACTGTGTAACTGTACTGTCTTTAGATATTTGATAATTTTGCCTGCTGGGTCCTAGAAGACAGAGAGCTTCACTGATGTGTCCT